CATTCTGCGGCACTCTAAGGGTTGATCCTCCATTCTGTGGCACTCTTAGGGTTGATCCTCCATTCTGCGGCACTCTAAGGGTTGATCCTCCATTCTGCGACACTTTTGGGTTGATCCTCCCATTCTGCGGCACTCTTAGGGTTGATCCTCCATTCTGCGGCACTCTAAGGGTTGATCCTCTATTCTGAGGCGCTTTGGGGTTGATCCTCCCATTCTGAGGCGCTTTGGGGTTGATCCTCCATTCTGCGGCACTTTGGGGTTGATCCTCCATTCTGCGGCACTCTAAGGGTTGATCCTCCATTCTGCGGCACTCTAAGGGTTGATCCTCCATTCTGCGGCACTCTTAGGGTTGATCCTCCATTCTGTGGTGCTTTGGGATTGATCCTCCATTCTGCGGCACTTTGGGGTTGATCATCCATTCTGCGGTGCTTTGGGATTGATCATCCATTCTGTGGTGCTTTGGGATTGATCCTCCATTCTGCGGCACTTTGGGGTTGATCATCCATTCTGCAGTGCTTTGGGATTGATCCTCCATTCTGCGGCACTTTGGGGTTGATCCTCCATTCTGCGGCACTTTTGGGTTGGTCCTCCATTCTGCGGCACTCTAAGGGTTGATCCTCCATTCTGTGGCACTCTTAGGGTTGATCCTCCATTCTGCGCCACTTTTGGGTTGATCCTCCCATTCTGCGGCACTCGTAGGGTTGATTATCCATTCTGCAGCGCTTTGGGGTTGATCCTCCATTCTGCGGCACTTTGGGGTTGATCCTCCATTCTGCGGCACTCTAAGGGTTGATCCTCCATTCTGCGGCACTCTTAGGGTTGATCCTCCATTCTGTGGTGCTTTGGGATTGATCCTCCATTCTGCGGCACTTTGGGGTTGATCCTCCATTCTGAGGCACTTTGGGATTGATCATCTGTTCTGCGAGACTTTGGGGTTGATCCTCCATTCTGCGCACTTTGGGGTTGATCCTCCATTCTGCGGCACTTTTGGGTTGGTCCTCCATTCTGCGGCACTCTAAGGGTTGATCCTCCATTCTGCGGCACTCTTAGGGTTGATCCTCCATTCTGCGCCACTTTTGGGTTGATCCTCCCATTCTGCGGCACTCGTAGGGTTGATTATCCATTCTGCAGCGCTTTGGGATTGATCCTCCATTCTGAGGCGCTTTGGGGTTGATCCTCCATTCTGCGGCACTCGTAGGGTTGATTCTCCATTCTGGGATTGATCCTCCATTCTGAGGCGCTTGGGGGTTGATCATCTGTTCTGCAGCACTTGGGTAGATCCTCCATTCTGCGGCACTTGGGGTTGATCCTCCATTCTGCGGCACTCTAAGGGTTGATCCTCCATTCTGTGGCACTCTTAGGGTTGATCATCCATTCTGCGGCACTTTGGGGTTGATCCCCATTTGAGGCACTTTGGGATTGATCATCTGTTCTGCGAGACTTGGGGTTGATCCTCCATTCTGCGGCACTTGGGGGTTGATCCTCCTTCTGCGACACTTTGGTTGATCATCTGTTCTGCGCACTTTGGGGTTGATCATCCATTCTGAGGCGCTTTGGGTTGATCCTCCATCTGAGGTGTTTGGATGATCCTCCATTCTGAGGCGCTTTGGGGTTGATCATCCATTCTGAGGCGCTTTGGGGTTGATCAACCATTCTGCGGCACTCTAAGGGTTGATCCTCCATTCTGCGGCACTCTAAGGGTTGATCCTCCATTCTGCGGCGCTTTGGGGTTGATCAACCATTCTGAGGCGCTTTGGGGTTGATCCTCCATTCTGAGGCGCTTTGGGGTTGATTCTCCATTCTGAGGCGTTTTGGGATTGATCTTGATGTTGTCTTTTGTCTTCTATGGGTATCCAAAAGTTGCTATAGTCAAGAAGTCGATTCCTTGCATATCCTCTCCCTGCAGCAGCTCTAGCTCCTATAGTGAGTGGAAAATCATGCATGATTCCCAGGATCTATGGTCTCATTGGCATAATAATATGGAGCTTGCAGTTTGCTGTCTCACTCTGTGACCCAGGCAGTTTTTGTCCAGACTTCACCGCCACCTTTGTTTGTCTGTCAGATGAAGTCATTGATAATCCTTCAGCACTCATTAATGATCCAGAGCAGAATTTCTTCAAGGAGATAATGGGGTTCAGAGATGATGCAATTCAGCATGCTTTTGAAGATGCTGCCAAATTCTGTAATGAAACATGGTCTCGATTTTTATGACTCTCAACCAAATGACCAAAATGAGTATTGTTTGAGAATGCGAAAATGGCTCTGTTCCGTATCGATGAAAATGTTCATCACCAGGTAATCTTTAACAACTGGATTCAAACTGGAAACATTCGTACGACGTGTCGTGACGTCCATGTCGGAGGGTATATCGTAATTTTCTCAGGAGACCAACTCCTTCACGGCAGCTACGGAGGGGATGATGGGATAGCGGTTCGAGTAGGAAATTCTATACAATATGGATACAGTGTAATTGACATTTGTGACCAGAGCCCAGTCATCAATCATCATCCAGGTCCAAAATGCTAGTCCATTTCGCCGAGAGCCAGTTGATGGAGCTGTTTTTCTTAATTCGATATCTATAACCAAGTTTTTGGTTACAGGAAGGCTTTTGGCTTTCTAAGCACCAAGTCAGAGGAAGATAATCTTGGAAAATATCGCTTTATTGATCAAACTGTTTGCAACTGAGTTTCATGCTTGAAAACTGAAAATTTGTATACATCTATAATATTATAGCTGTTTGTACATAATGCAATTTTGCTACCTTGCGTAAGTGTAGTGTGAGAACATGCAGACAATAGGGCCCAGTAATTTCTGTGGTTCGTGCATTACGCAACCTCGTGTGTTAATTGTATCATCCTCGCGCACGCACATTAAAGTTAGCAAAGTGTGTACATAATATTCGCATGTTCAAGGTTAAGACAATCCTGGACAATTTCGTTAGTTCTCCGAATTGTCCACACATTTCCTGCCAACTGAGCCTTTTATGACAGGAATTGACATTGTTGCATACAGTATGTATGTAATGATGAATTTTGTTTGATATACGCATTGACACAGGCTAGTTAAAAACGTACATAATATGTACTTTTTGCACATTATGCCAGACAGGTCTTTAATTTGCCCACGACCCTAGACCATGGAATGATTGTCAGCATCCTTTTCCTTTAGCTACTTATTGTAGAGATATGGAGTCAGGTAACTGTGAACGGTTACCACTCACTTGTCACACAAAAGTGTATAATAATGTAAAAACAATGCACAAAAGACAAATGAAAAAAGCTTTCTCCCCTTAGATAAGCTTCCACAGACCCCTTATCTTGGGGCGGGCTACACGTAGCCAACAATGATTGTAGCCTAACCACAGGAACTTAGGTGGAATTAAATCGCAGCAGCCGAACAAGATTCCTATAGTCGTTTGTGTATAGCTATAGCACACTTTGGCTCTTTTAAGGTAGCTATTGAGTAATCTGTAAACGTTGATTCCTTGCATTATTCTTCCAGTTAAAAATCATGACTTCCAGGATCTGGTGCCTTCTTATTACTGTGTTCGGTTTGCAACTTGCTGTGTCACTCTGCGATAAAGTCACTTTTTGTCCCGACTTTACTGCCACATTTGTTGGATTGGTAGACCAGACTGTAGAAGATCCACTGATACTCATTGATGATCCAGGGCAGACCTTCTTCAAGGAGACTCTGGGGTTCAGAGATGATGACATTCAGCATGCTTTTCAAGATGCTCTCAAATTCTTCAATGAGACATACGGTCTCGACTTCTCCCTCTCTCTACACCAAATGAGCAAAATGAGTACTTTGTTGGAAAAGCAAAACTACGACCATTCCGGTATCGTGAGGATATCCAGTACCAGGTAGTCCTCAACAACTGGATTCAATCGGGCAATACCCGTATCACATATTGGGACATCCGTGATGGTGGATGGCGTATCACCTTCTCGGGAGACCAGCTCCTTCACGGTAGTTATGGAGGGGATGATGGGATACCAGCTGGAGTGGAAAACTCCATAGATTATTCATTCTACAGCATCAGTGTGTGCGACCAGAGCCCTGTCATCATTCAGTTCCAAAACGCGAGTCCGTTCCGCCCGGAGCCTGTTGATGGGGTCTACTTGTTTAATTTCGACCTCTACAACAATGTTCTTGGTCGCGGAAAAGCCATGGGCGTAGCTTCTCTCGTACCTGATCCAGAAAATTCTGGGAAGTTTCGTGTTGTCATCCGAAATGTCTACATTTCCAGGCAATTGAAACGATGTAGAATCCTATACTGTTTAGTATATCTGGTATTCTGCTTATACATGCAATGTTGGCTCAACATTGCATAATCTATAGTCTATAAGCGGAACACACTTTTGTTTTTTGTGGGTCACCTTAACAGGTCATCCATGTGCCATTTATATGGGACATGATTCAGTAGGTTTTTTGTGTATATAGTTATCTTGAGGAGGTCACGGTGCTCACCGGCGGAGTAGTAATAGGTCTAAGATATACCACAAAAATTATATTGGGTTTAAGCATGTCTGTTGAGACGGTAGATATGTCCTGATGGAGTACATACAAATCTTTGTCTATTTCAGTCATTAAATCTTCAAAGATGTAGTGATAGTCAGCTAAAGAAGAGCTTATTGTTCTAACTCCAACTACTATGGATGAGGGTAAGCTGCAGCATTGGTGCATACCATGACATCTACACAAACCACAGCAAGTGGAAGCAAGGGGTCTACTGCGAAGGTCACCCAGCATTTCGGCTGGAATTCTTTTATGCACAACAATGTCGACAAACAATGGACGAGATCTGTGGTTGAAGGGTATTTTATCTTGCTACCCCACTAAAGGTAGTAGACCCTTTATATCGGCTCAGCTTTAGGTAAAATCCATTGTAATTACAGTTGAACCACAGGAACTCGGTACACTTACATACGCTTTAATGTGCAGGCCGATGCGCATGCACGAGAACTGGTCCAGTTCAACCACAGGAACTTCGACCTTTATCTGTTGCTAGAGTTCCAAGGGGCAGATTTTGCTCCACAAGGTGAACATAGGCAGATATAGGCATAATATTGTGGCTCAACTACAACACTACAGCAGCAGGGAAACTGTGATTATCAGGATGTACAGCTCTCTCGTTGTGGTACTCTGCCTTCAATTGTATGTTTCACTGTGTGACCAAGGCAGTTTCTGTCCTGACTTCACTGCCACATTCGTTGGAGTGATAGACCAGACTTCTGATGAGCCTACAGTTATCACAGATGATCCTAGTCTGACATTTTTCAAGGAGATCATGGGGTTCAGGGACGAAGACATTCAGCATGCTTTTGAAGACGCAGCCAAATTCTACAATGACACATATGGTCTTGACTTCTTCTCTCAACCAAATGAGAAAAATGAGTACTTTTTTGGAAATGCAAAAATGAGTCCTTTTCGTTTTTATGAAGGCATCCACTATCGACTAGCATTGAGCAATTGGATTCAAACTGGAAACACTCGTTTCACCTGTCGGGAAATCGAAATTGGAGGATATCATGTCATCTTCACAGGAGACCAGCTCCTTCATGGCAGCTACGGAGGGGATGATGGGATACCAGCTGGAGAAGGAGACTTCCTGCAGTATGGATACAATCGATTCGATGTGTGTGACCAGAGCCCAGTCATCGTTCAGATTGAAACTTCAATTCCAATCCGCCAAGAGCCAGTCGATGGTGGAGGTTTTCTTCATTTTGACACCTACAACAATGTTCTTGGTCATGGAAAGGCCCTGGGTACATTCACGATGAAGCCAGATAAAGAAAACCCAGGAAAATTCCATCTTGTTACTCGAAATGTTTTCACATTCCCTGCTATATAACTGAGTCTTTGACTAACAAACAGAAATAAAAAATTATTAAGGGTTTAATTAAAGGGGAGAATAATTTTTGCCATAATCGCAAAACTTACTGTCATTGAACAGTGAAAGCTCGAGTATTACGCAATTTTGCATGCATATATAATGGAAGGGTGCGCAGTGATTTTTCTCAGCCCTGGATCTATATATGACAGAAACCTCTCCTTGTGGATTCACAACAGAAGCTTCAGCCCTGAATCTGCAAATTTTATGCAAGAAGCTGCAGTGCTTGTAGTTTAACCACAGGAATCGCTCTGTCTGTTGATTGAAGGCAAACATTGTGGCTCAGACTTAGATCCTGGAAGAGATACCGACTTTCTTTGTCTCTAGGACATAATAATAGAGTAACTGGATCGAGCAGCCATTCATAGAGGCGAAAATGACTCTCAAGATTTGTATTCTTGTCAGCTGTCGCTGACCTGTTTGCTGTCTCACTCTGTGAGCAACACGAGGGTGTCTGTCCTGACTTTGCTGCCACATTTGTCGGAGTGATAGACCAGACTATTGACAATCCCAGATTTGTCATCAATGATCTAGAGCAGACCTTCTTCAAGGAGATAATGGGGTTCAGAGATGATGACATTCAGCATGCTTTTGAAGATGCCATAACATTTTTCAACGAAACATACGGTCTTGATTTCTCCCTCTCTCAACCAAACGAACAACATGAGTATTTCTTTGAAAATGCAAAAATGAATCTTTTCCGTTTTTCTGGAGACATTCACTACCTGCTAGCTCTCAGCAACTGGATTCAAACTGGAAACACTCGTTTCACATGTCGAGAAATCTATGATGGAGGATTTCTTGTCACCTTCACAGGAGACCAGCTCCTGCACGGCAGCTATGGAGGGGTGATGGGATACCAGCTGGAGTGGGAGACTCACTGGATTATGGATTTACCAAAATCGATGTCTGTGACCAGAGCCCTGTCATCATCCAGTTTAAAACTGCAACCCCTTTTCGCTCGGAGCCGGTTGATGGATCCCGTAACTTGAATTTTGACATCTATAATCGTGTGCTAGGTCACGGGAAAGCACTGGGAGCCTATACAGTCAAACCAGACCTGAAAACCCGGGAAATTTCGTTTTGTCGCTCGAGTAGTCTTCACATTTCCAACTAACTGAGATGACAAGTAGAAGACGCCCTTAGTACATGACATTTTTGTATTGGAGCAGGATCATAATTTTTTTATAATGATATTTTGATGAATCATACACAAATAGCAATCAGCTAGTGCATGGTGCATGAATCCATAAAACTACATGACGTAAACCTGTGTGTGGCACTTCCAGTTCATATATACGAAGTATGGTTTTTATCATTCAATAGACCAGAGACTGAATGGAGCTGAACTTGGATGGTTGGAGTTATGATAGCATAGCCATGTCTCATTAATGGTGAAATGGCCTCAATATTGCATGTCTATTACTAGTCAACTTTGGATCTGACTCCAAACTTCCTGCCACCAAAACCATCACCACTAAAACTGCTCATAGGAGTAACCAACAGCAAATTTTTTGCGTTTATCGAAACTGCTTTAAAGGTTTTGTAAAAATACAAAATACATATAGTATTGCTAGCTGTATACCCAGCAGTACTACCAGCTATGTAGTGAGCTTAGTGTCACTGCACTACGTAGCTACCTCTCGTCAGGACTTGTCCTGGATATTGCCTGCCGAATTACAAATCTTATGAAGACACCAAAAATCCTAAGAATTTACTTCCGTCATCTGATAACAGTTCTGGCCGGCCATATGTGTTGCCATAGCAACTTGTGAGTTGGATAACCAGCTGCTGGTCTTTACATGTAGCATGGTTAGCTACCCATGACTGTTCACAAGGAAGTGAGTGTTCAAGATAAGATAGTCAGGCAGACACAACGGCTGCTTTGTTCTCAGCGAGTTGGTCATGAAGCGTTGCAAAACAGCAACTGTGTCTCAGATCCTGGCAAAATCTCATAGGATGACAGCCTCCTGAATTTTTGAGACGGCAAGCATATTTCTTCTATCCATGAATACTTTCCCGGCTTCTCAGTCCCATTTATAGGATTGATAGACGAGACAACCTGATCTAGGATTTAATGGGTTTAACTCTTAAGAGATCATGCTGTGAGACACGCCTTTGATGGTGTTGTAACTTCTAATCTAACGTTATAGTCAAAAGGATGAAGAGAATGCCACATCCCCCTAGCTTAGAACCACACTTTCATGCATGCCTAAGATACTAACTACACATTGTTGAAGAGAAGGCTTTCCGCTATATTATAGAGACGGCCACACTATATTACACTGGACTCCACATTGTGATAGTGTATGCCATATTCGTATGCATAAAGCATACGTTCATTTGTTATGCAAAATACTTCAGTTGTGCACACTGATCTGTGTAGCAAAGTTGTAAACCTCAAAACCTCACCACATAATTATGTACATACCCCACAAAGCCCAGAGACAGTCTTACATAGAATCAGGGCTGCACAAAGTGAGTTGCACAAAGTGGGTTCCACAAAAATGTTATCAGGTTCATAATGTGTGTAAGGTTACATTGTTAGGTTTTTCACAAGCAGGCCTGTAACACCCATTGGCAGATGTTTTGACCAACAGCAGCAGTGATGTGGGTACATTGATTATCTAATACCTCATAACTGGAACTTTATAAGCTAGAATGCATGGCCCTGCCCTTTCGCCATCTTTTGTAGTGGACAAGAAAAGATGAATCCCACGATCGCCTGTTTTCTTATTAGCCTGCAGTTTACTGCTTCACTCTGTGACCAACGGACTGGTGGTGTCTGTCCTGACTTCACTGCCACATTTGTTGCAGGGATAGACCAGACTGTTGACGATCCTAACGTCCTTATCAGTGATCCAGAGCAGACCTTCTTCAAGGAGATAATGGGGTTCAGAGATGATGACATTCAACATGCTTTTGACGATGCTGTCAAATTTTTTTATGACAGATACGGTCTCGACTTCTCCCTCTCTCAACCAAATGAGCAAAATGTGCATGTCCTTGGAAATGCAACACTGAGTCTGTTTCGAATCGTAGAAAATGTTCACTACCTGCTGGTGTTGAACAACTGGATCCAAACTGGAAACACTCGTACAACGTGTCGGGACATTCAATTCGGAGGGTATCTTGTCACCTTCACAGGAGACCAGCTCCTTCACGGCAGCTATGGAGGGGTGGATGAGATAACAGCTGGAGTGGGAAACTCAATTGAATATGGATTCATGAAAATTAACGTGTGTGACCAGAGCCCAGTCATCCTTCAATATTCTCTTCCCACACCAATACGCCAAGAGCCAGTTGATGGAACAGTCTTTCTCAATATCGACCTCTACAATAATGTTCTTGGTTATGGAAAAGGGCTAGAGTCGATAACTATCAAACCAGATCAAGACAATTTCGTATTGTCACCCGCAATGTTATCACATTCCCTGCTAACTGATCTTAGTGCAAGACTGCAATAACAGCTATATAGCTACATTAGTGTGATGCTAGCTACATAGGTCTCAACCATCCAGAAGGAGTAGGTGGGACATTAATAATCGGGATATCTTGCTCAATATCGGGACATACGCGCGAACAACCAAGTGCGCATGCGCGTATGGTTCAGTTCAAAACCCGCTCGCCAGCCAGTTACGAGTCTACAGTAACTGCAGTGCTAAAGAGTACCGAGTACCAGAGTCCAGTTGTCCATGATTCGTTGCTCTACTGCAAACCGTTTCTTTTTTCACTACCGCGCACAGTACGTCCGAGAAATCGGGACAAGCAAGGCTGTGAAAATCGGTACTTTCCCGCCTAATTCGGGACAGTTGAGACCTACGTATATATATTATATATCAAGCTGTGTGTAAAACAGCTCTGCACACACTGCGCATGCGCTGCGCATTGTTTGCGGTGCGCCATTTAGAATATTCACGTACCTGGCGACGATGGAAGGTCAAGACGCGATGATAGCTGAGATGATGGGCATGGGGTTCCAGCCCGAGGATATAGAGGAATACCAAATAGCCATGGCATCCTCCAGCGAGGGCTTCAGCATGCAGGCAGCCACCGAATGGTCAGCTCCAGTCTGCTACACGTGTAGCTATGTCAGCAGTGGTATATACACAAACGTTGAGAGACCGTGACGGTGTCTCACTCAGAGAATTGTCTAGGGTTTGTCTTTGGATTATAGGGTGTTGCTCAGAGCCCTGCCTGCTGAGCTACCCACCTAGCAGGGTGTCGTTAAATACTCGGGATATTTGTGATGTTTAGCTACAGTGTACGCAGTATGTGTACATACATATAAAACTCTCTCTATTTGAATATGCTACAAAAGCAAACTGTAACGTGGCTGTATGCCCACAAAATAGGGGAATGAAGCAGTACCACAGGGGAGTTTGCTAGCATGGCTGTAGTGGGTAACATGGCCCAGAGAGAACCAGGGATAGCAGTTTAAACAAATCATTTGCTGCTCACCGAGGTATTTCCACAGTGACTCCCCAATACACCATAGCAAAACATACCTGAGACCTTGTATCCAAAAGTTCATAGAACAGGGAAAACTTTGGGGTTGACACAGTGATACTGAGAGATAGAGTAGAATACTTGCACAGTAAGTATACCTCAGTGCTGGACTTCGTACATACTGACTAACAGTGAGATGTTATGAAGTTGCTCAGGACAGGAAGTAGAAGGTGGCAAGGGCTATCGTATAATTAAAAATGACAGGCGAGATGTTCGTATCTTGTTTTTCGTGGGTGCTATGTTGATACAGTTGCAGTGTAGATTGTACAGATGTCTTCTGAAGTCTAGATGGACAACCTGCACACTTATGTGTGAGCGCATCAAGTAAAAATAGGGGCTATGACACACAGGGACAAGTTTGAGTTTGTGAATGAATAGAGAATTTGCATTCGCGATATGGCGACGATTAGCCACACCAGAACCGCGCGAGAGCATTACGTGCAACACGCATTGCGCTCTACGTAAGGGATTTCCCCTCCGCCCGTGTATGGCTCGTGCTATACTCGCGTATACAGGGAAACAATGTGGCGTACACCCTCTTTTTACTTGATGCGTTCACATGTGCAAGTTCTCTCTGGATTTTTATCACACTTCCATAATGTTACTAACTGGGCAGATTTTTTTTTATTGGCGAACGATTTGAGCCTACTTAGTTGTCTGAATGTGCAGTTTTTCCATATTATGTATCTGACGACATACTTCAATCTGTGTTGCACTTATCGATGGCACTGAATTTATGCTGTATGCGTGTGACTCTTGTGTTCACTCGCCAAAATGCCTTGCGTTCCAGTGATAGGAGGCTGCATACAGACGCTATGTTTTCCTCTCCGCCCTCCCTCCAGGTTACTGCAGAGATCTCAGGGGAGGACAAATCCCCTCACTGATCAGACTTCCACCCTCACCCTCTCCCCTCCCTCCCTCCCTCTCTCCTCCCAGCCTGACATTCAGAGACCAATGTCCTCTGGGGCACAGCTAACCTCTCACTCGCAACCTCTAAAGAGCAGGTGATGTACTGTAAAAATATATTGTTTTGCGACAAAAAATTTGGTGAATTGCTGAAAAGCAAACTCACAAACATGGTTGGCAGGCACATGAAAAGATTGCAAAAATACTTCTGCACTTTCTCAAAATTCAGTAGTGTTAAATTTATCCATATGGGTGCTAAACCCATTGTCTTAATGCGTGACCTGCCAGTGAGATATGCAACTGGTTGCTTGTGGTTGGCACTCGCAAGCAGACTAGCGGGTGGATATGAAACAAAGCACAAGACTGAAAACATTACATTTCACACTGCTGGCATAGGACAGTGCAGTACACAAAAGACACTTGCTGTTGATGTCTCCCCTTCTACCAATCACTGGCTGTTAAAAAGTTTTAAACACCGTGCAACTGTTGCAAATCGGATCAAAAACAGGTTGGTGTGCCACTTTACAGCCTTGAATATACACATGGCAATATCACAATGTGAGCCAAGAAAGGACAGTCCCGGCAGAATATACATAGCAGTAATGCTCGGATTCATTTACTAGCAGACACAAGTAGTATATTTTTGTATGTCGGCACTTAACCCAACTTATACATTATAAAACGTGTACTTGTTTGATTAAAACACAGTAACAGTCACTACTTTTGTGTTTACAC